CTCTCACAGTTCGACCTCCACATGGGAACACGATGGGGGGTCCTTTTGCTGTTCGAGCCTTCGTAGGTACATTCGCACGCCCAATTTTGTCCTGGAGGCATGGGGAGTCCCAAGCTGATGCCCAGTCGAAGAGATTGCGTGCATCTTGGCAGGGGCTCCAGGCCGACCTTAGCACGTACAAGTTTGCTGACGATATCAACAGTTTTGTCCTGGCGGACCCGCAGATGTCGTTGAGAGATTTCACGGCAAAGATTGAGACGGTCGACGCCAGACTTGACTCCTATCTTTTTGATTTTGGTTACGGCCAGAACGGCACCAAGCAAGAGTACCTCATGTTTTTCGCTGCACGTGGCTATCAGTGTCGCCAGTTGCTCCGCCAAGACCCTTCTCTCCTCCAGGGCTCCGTTCGGGAAGAAGCTGGATATCTTGGGCCTTATTTGCAGCTTAGCGCTTCGGCTAGATCTGAGATCTCCAGGAGGTGCTCGGCGGCTCGCTCGGGCTTTCTCTCCCTGGGCAGGGCGTGGAGTCTTGGGATCCCGAAAAGATGGAAACGTAGCCTCTTCATCGGTTTCGTTCAGAACGCTTTACTAAGTGGACTAGAAAGTTTCGTGGTCACGGAGACGGACACTGCGAGTTTAGATGGCTGTTTGGCTCGTCCGGGGCGCATCGCCATGATGGGGAAAGCTGCTTCCTGGGAGGGCCCGCATGTGAAATCGTTATCGACTAAACAGGTACTTGAGTATTGGAAGCTGGTTCCCTCCTCGCTGGAGCTCTTGATTCGCAGAGTTAAGCTGTATCGGTCGTGGAGTGCGCACCCTGAGGAACATGCTCAGATTTTATGCGCATTATTTGGATCGTCTCCTATCGAATTCATGCGACCTCCAATGTGTGCAGGACGACCTGCATCGAACTCTTCGCCTTGGACAAAACAGGTGGCGTCCGATTTGGATCGTGTCTCCAGGCTGCTCCCTTACGAGAGCGTGCGAGATGTTGCCAATGATTTGCGTCTTCTCACCGATTTGGAGGCCTCAGAGGATTTTCGGAGAGTGGATATGACTGAGCTTCGGAGCCAAGCTTTCTCTGTCTGCATCCCCCCTCCTGGATATGCTCCACCAGTGGTCCCCCCTGAAGAGCCTGAAGATCACGCAGGGGTTGAGTTGCCTTTCGCGTGCCCGATGGACCTCAATGGGGAGCCCTGTAAGAGCGCCTTCAATACCCGTAAGCAGCTACTTGAACATCTACGGCATTGGCATCAACTACGCAACCTAGCACCTGTACTAACACCTAGCAACGTTTGCATTCACTGTTTGCAGACCTTTGCAACGCAAGTTACTGCCGCCCGCCACCTACTACGATCATTACAGAAGGGAAACTGCCTCACATGTGGACCTCGTACACTGGCCCCGATGGTTACCCCGTCGTCCTATGAGTGCCCATGCTGTGACTATGTGGGAGAGGATACGCTGTCTCTCTGTCGCCATCTCCGAAGCCATCTGCCTGTCCAGATAGCGCCCTTCATATCAACTACTCGTACGATCAGTACCGACGTGCACGGCTTTCATCGTGGAAGTCGAGGCTCTCCAGAGACCTGCTTGGTTCAAAAGTGCCGCCTCCCCAGGAGCCGATGGCACTCAGCCCGACGCCAAACGCAAGAAGGAGTCGGGCAGCCAGGGTGGTCGCATTCCGTTTGACAAAATCATCGTGGTCATCTGCAAGTTGATCTTTGCCAACAGTCGAGAGCTGGCCGACCTCGGAGCCGTGGTGTACTTGAGGTACGAGTTGGACGCAGGGCAGGGCATGATCGCAGCCGCAGTCGCGGCAGGAGTGGCGTACAACGAGACGAGCAAAGAGATGAAGAAGCGCGCAGACGGTGGCGAGACGGTGGACCACAAAGGACGTCCCGCTCCTCATCTACAAATCTTCATGGCAGTATGGGAGTACGGAGCTACCAAGACGGTGGCAGAGGAGGCGGACCCTCTTATCAAGCAGAGGGCCGACACGCTCAAGGTGGACATGCGGGAGTTCTGGGACGAGAAGTTGGCGAAGGTTCCGCTGTCAGACATCGCTCGTGCTGTCCAGTACTTCCGCGTTCGGATTCATCGCAAGGTCGAGGGCCAGAAAGACAAGGCAACATTTCTCTTCAAAGAGTGGATCTTCATCACAACCTGGGGGCGGTGATCGGCCCGATGGTGGAAACGTTGGTGGCGGTGGAGGGGGGCTCCTTCCATTCGGGCGCGGCCCCGCGGGGGCCGCTGGAGAGGGAGATCTCGAAGTTTCTCGACCGCAAGGACCACGCATAGTACGTGAGGCGCCCCCCCCCAGATGGTGCCAGAGAGGGATAGCAGTGTGCAGGACAGTCGTGAAAGGCTAGCTAGTAGATTCCCGATGGTGGCCAGTAGTGAGAGGCTAGCATCACTCGTAGCAGCAAGTAGGGTGACGCAGGATCAGATTGCTCGGGCAGTAAGTAGGATCCCAGTTTGTCTTCCAGAAGGTATCGCAGTGACAACAGCTCCTGAGATCCCAGTAATTAATATGCCTTCGAATCGAGGCCGTGGTGGCCGACACGTCGGGAGTGGGGGGCGGGGGGCGAGCTCTGGTGGGCGGGGGAAAGGACGAGGTCGCCGCGCCTGATGTATGGGCCCCCTCTGAGGGCTGCGGGCTGCGTGCCTATCGGGGCGCCCATCGGCCAGTGCAGTCTTTGCTGTGAGCCTGAGAGGGGCTCGCATCGTTAGTCGTCTGGTTTCGAAGGAACCCTCTCAGAGTACAGTCAAGCTTTTTTCGAGCTTCGAGGTCGGGATCTTGACAGGGACTCCATGAGGATCTGCTCTGCTCTGCTCCTCCTCCTCCTCCTCCTCCTCCTCCTCCTCCTCGATTGCAGGTGGGGAGACGGTGGGAGAAGCGGAGGGGGCGGGAGGGGCAGGCCGGGTGCGCTCGCGCCAAGCCTTGCAGCTCGCCCGCCCCAGCAATTCCTTTCCAATGTTTCCTCCTCCTCCCTTCTCCTCCCCCCCTCCCCCTCCTCCTCCTCCTCCTCCTCCCTCCTCCTCCTCCTCCTCCTCCGCCTCCTCCTCCTCCTCCTCCTTCTCCTCCTCCTCTCCTCCTCCTCCTCCCTCCTCCTCCCCCCCACCTCCTCCTCCTCCTCCTCCTCCTCCTCCTCCTCCTCCTCCTCTCCTCCTCCTCCGCCTCCTCCTCCTCTTCCTCCTCCTCCTCCTCCTCCCCCTCCTCCCCCTCCTCCCCTCCTCCTCCTCCTCCTCCTCCTCCTCCTCCTCCTCCTCCTCCTCCTCCTCCTCCTCCTCCTCCTTCTCTTCTCTTCCTCCTCCTCCTCCTCCTCCTCCTCCTCCTCCTCCTCCTGGTGCCTCAGAAGACGGGGCGGACGAGCCAGACGACGAGGAGGGAAAAGGAGGGGGACGACAACGACGAGGAACGAATCGGATCCAATAATTTGACCCGCGCTGGGGCGAAAACGCAAATCTAAACGACGGGAGCAAAGCGCCGATCTCGAAATGCGGCCACCGCTGCAGCGGGAACACTGTTTGTAAGCACCAGAAGCGAGCGAGCGAACACATGAATAACCCTAGTAAGCAATGACCCTGGCGCGACCCAATCAGAGAAACGCTTCCTAAGCGGCATTGCTTGGCATTGTTTGGCATTGCATTGCTTTGCTTTGCTTGGCATTGCGTTGCTTGCCATTGCGCTGCGTTGATTGGCGTTGCTTGACATTGCTTCTCGTTGCTTCGCCCTGCTTGACATTGCTTTGCGTTGGTTGGCGGTGCTTGGCATGGCTTGTCGTTGCGGAGTCTGTCTGATTTTAGCACATCGGGTTTATGTTCTAAGAACATTGTTTTGTTGTTGAAACATTTTTGGGTTCTAAAAATATTTCGTGGTAGGACTATAGGAATGCCGGGACGGTCGGTTCCTGCTCAACAGCAGGCAAAGCCTAATTTGGAACAACACCGGCTGATATTCTGCGTGCAAGACGCAAAGCGTAGGAGGGGAGTATCCCCCGCACGAGACAGCATAAGGGTCGAGATTAGAGTAGTGTGCGTATTGTGTGACTGTACAAGAAGACAGGGGAGAGAGGGGGAAAGGCGACATGGGGAAAGCTATGAACCCTCGCACCACATCTGACATCGTCTCCTCCCACCCATCCCTTCCCATTGCGTTGAACCGTTTTTCTGTCCGCCGACTGGTGTGTCGTAGAGGACCTTGATGCCTGCTCAAATGCCAGTTGCAGGATTTGGCTCATCAGACGCTGCGTTATCGGAAATTGGAGCTTGTGCGCATACACAGAGGAGCCGCATACATCGGATGAGCGGGAGGCGGACGAGGATGATGAGGAGGAGGGAGATCGAACAAGAGGAAGAGGACGTCCAGGAGCAGGGGGACGAGGAGGAGGAGGAGCAGGATGAGCGGGAGGACCGGCGGATAGCGGAGGCGGGGAAACGAGGCAGGCGGCACCGACGAGGCACGAATCGGACCCAGAAGTGTGGCCCGCGCTGGGCCTCGCGTGGCGCTGCGCGCGAGGTCGGGGGACCCATTCCTCCGCACGTCGTCGGAGGTCTCTCGCGGGCCCGCGCGGAGGCCCCCATAGCCCTCTGGAGATCTCAGAGATGTTCCAGTCTGTCACCTGCGATCACCATGGGCGCGTCGGTGTCGTGGACGAGGGCCCGTAACGAGCGAGCGCCGGTGCATTCTTGCCGCCCGCGCCCCCGCCCATGCACATGCACAGGGGGGTCAAGTGCAGCCTCGATGGCCATTTGGGGGAGGTCGAGCTGCATAAGGCTGACCCAAAGCGACGACGTCGTGATTTTTGTCACCACGTGGGTCCCTGGAGGTCTGGACCTCTTCCCCAGGACTGGTTTCTCATCCCCAGTCGTCGTTTGACAGTCCCCCAGGGCCCCGTGAGGGCCACGGGCGGCTGAAAACAGCCACAAAGCTGTTCGACACGGGGGGGGCATGAGCGGAGGGGAGGAAGGGAGGCGCGCCGGCCCGGCGCCCCACAGGAATCTGCAGAACCTCCTGATCCTCACCGCGATCAAGGCGGACAAGGCGCGCGTGATGGACTACATCAACCGCGCGGGGCTCGGCCGCCCCCCGGAGGTTCGAGCGGCCGCCAGGTCTGACCGACCCAGCATGCCTCGCCCTTCTCGCGCCCTCGCTGGCTCCTCGTCGTCGTCGTCGTCGTCGTCGTCGTTCTCCTCCTCCTCCTCCTTCTCCTCCTCGTCCTCCTCCTCCTCTCCTCCTCCTCGTCCTCCTCCTCCTCCTCGTCCTCCTCCTCCTCCTTCTCTTCCTCGTCCTCCTCCTCCTCGTCCTCCTCCTCCTTCTCCTCCTCCTCCTCCTCCTCCTTTCCTCCTCTCCTCCTCCTCCTCCTCCTCCTCCTCCTCCTCCTCCTTCTCCTCCTCCTCCTCCTCCTCCTCCTCCTCCTCCTCCTCCTCCTCGTCCTCCTTGCCTGTCGGCGTGGCCGACGACGACGTGGATGCAGACGCGCTCTCGCCCCGTGGCCAGCTAGGCGTGAACCCGCGCGTTCTCTGCGGTCATCTCCTCATCCTTCTCCTCCTCCTCCTCCTCCTCCTCCTCCTCCTCCTCCTCGTCTCCCCCTCCCCCTCCTCCTCCTCCTCGTCCTCCTCCTCCTCCTCCTCCTCCTCCTCCTTGCCTGCCCTCCCCCTCGCTTGTGCGCCCTTGCCCTTCGCCTGCTTCTCTCCAGCCTGTTCTGGGAGGGGGTGTCGAAGCGCCCCTTGCCCGTGCAGGCGCAAGCATCTTGCTTCACCCTGCTCGCGCGCCGTCTGGCGCAAGGTCTCTGCGACTGCGACTATGTTTAAGTCGGGCCTGCCCCTCCACAGGAGGAATATTCAAAAAGATTGAAAACATTGTCTGGGGACGATTTTTTGACTATGTTTGACCATTTCGGATTTGTTGGGGGAATGTGTAATTTGTCGTCCACAATCCCCCTGTAGTGGGACATGCCCGACATAAGACTATTTCTCTCAGGGCCCCTGTTCCACTTGAGCAACTCGTGCAGGCGCGATGAGCTGCTGCGCGGCCCGCCCTAGCCTTCGACCAGGCCGAGAATTTTGGCGCCGCGCCCCAAACGAGTTTCTCTCCAGGACCCCGAGGTGGGGTTAGAGTAGATGGTTTCGGAGGATCGCCTCCGCTTCGCCGATGAATAGGCGATGCGGCTCAATGTGGAGCCTGCTTTTTTTCGCGCCGGCATCGCCGATGCATCGGCGAGGCATCTCGGCGAGGCATCGGGGAGGCGGCGCGACCGTCCGTACTTGGACTCTATTTGGGAGGTTTCGATTTTCTTCCTCGCCCGCCCTCCCTCTCCCATGCCCGCCTTCCACGTCGCGTGATCATTCTCCCCCAAGTTTTGCCCGCCGCCCAGTGGATATCGCGGGGGGCTCCTGTGCGTCCCGCCTCTGACGCTGCCTTTGTGTACCCCTCTCGGCGTATGCTCGCCAGGCTGCTCTCCCCCGTTTCTCCTGGACCCCTGCCAGGGCTATCTAAGGCCCTCTTCCTTCCCCCCGTCATTGCCCGTGACGACGCGGATCCACGATTTGTTCTGTCAAAGTTTCTTTTTGGAAAGTTTCTGGAGCTCTCGAGATATACATCCTCTGGAGGTCGCTGAGGGTTTTTTGAGGCTTTCGACGGCCTCCATGAGGTATCCCAGCGAAAGACCCAGCCATATGCACTTGTGAGTGCCGCGTTGTGGCACCGCTTTCGGTGGTATTTCCTATAGAGCCACGAACTGCATGACGGGTGCGCCACATGGGGCGGCGCCGCCATGCGAACCCTGCCACGCGGGCCTTCGGTGGAGCTCCCTATGGGGCCACGAACCGTGTGTGTGTGTGTGTGTGTGTGTGCGTGTGTGTGTGTGTGTGACAGGTGCGCCCACATTGGGCGAATTCTGCCGCTGGGGCCTTCGGTGGAGCTCCCCATGGGGCCACGAACCGTGTGAGGGGTGCGCCAAAAGGGGGCGGCGCCGCCGTGCGAACTCTGCCGCTGGGGCCTTCGGTGGAGCTCCCTGTGGGGTCACGAAGCGTGTGAGGGGTGTGCCGAAATAGAGACACGCGGAGGGCAGATGCAAAGATGGGAGGAGGGAGGAGGGACAGGAGGAAGGAGTGAGACGCGGGACGCTCTCCAAAACGAGGACCCAACACCACGGGATCTTTCCCGCTTCCGCCGCATCTCAAGCCACAACGTGGCCACTCGGCCCCGCCCATCTGCGGGCGTCTCGCCCTGACCGCCCGGTGCCCGGGGCCTTCCCGGAGGGTGGCTGGAAAAGTCCGCAGTAGTGGAAGCGCCTGCCTGCCCTCCCGTTTTCCTCTCCTCCTCCCGCCTTTCCCCCCAAAACCCATTTCCACCCTCCCTTCCTCCCGTCCTCCCCGAAACAAGCAACGAATCCCGTGACATGAACGATCACTGCGCCAACAGCAGTTGCGACGACGAACACAGCAATCAACCGCAGCGAGATTCACTTGCAATGCCAGACCAGCTCAGCGTCGGCGACGAAGACATAACCAATGTAGACCCGATGGAACTTTGGACCTTGGAGATTACAATAGCACGCCACACGATGCGGAGATCACCTCATCAGGCACTACCGCACCGAGAACTTGTTGACGATGCGCAGGGAAGTCACAGCGCATGGTTTCAAGAACCGTGCACCACGACCGCACAAGGTGGACATTGTTAGCGCTGCACTGACAACCATACCTCGATCCACACCAACGCGGCCAGAGACAGCTCAGTGGCCAACACCAGCTGGGACGACGAAATGAGCATGTATTGACATTATCGAAGGCTAGATGTCGACCGACCGGCCACATCTACCAACGCAGAAACAAGGCAACCCGACAATTTCTCATGGGTGCAAGCCGCCTAAGACATCGTCAGGTGGGCAACGTTCGAGCACCAGCATGCCGAACCCACGCGAGCAAACCCCAAAGCAATGACGAGAACGCCCGGTGTGCGCTGAGACGACGCATCCAAACCGCGACTACACCGCCACCAAGGATTTCCCCGTCCTCCTCCTTTCCCTCCACTCTCTCTTCCCCTTTCCCTTTCTCTATGTAAATATAGCAATGTATACATACATACATACATACATACATACATACATACATACATACATACATACATACATACATACATACATGCATGCATGCATGCATGCATGCATGCATGCATGCATGCATGCATGCATGCATGCATGCATACATACATACATACATACATACATACATACATACATACATACATACATACATCCCCATGCCGAAAGTTTTTGCCTCTTGCATGGGAACGCATGGATCCATTTAGATCCAATTACGTGTGTGCGAGAGTCACGTGGATCCACTTTCCGTGTCATCTGGATCCCATTTTTTGGCGTGGAAGCTTCGTGGATCCAATTCTTTTCTTGGAATAAATCTACACTAATAATTACTACAAGGGGCCCAAGGGGAAATGGATCCACGGAGCTTTGGACCTGCAGCCCAAGCTATTATTCTACGGGGGAGGGGTTTCCCTAGACACAACACACGGGGACGAGTAGGGAAACACAAACCAGAGGAGGGCGAAGAGGAAGATGAGGGAGGAAGGACGGAGAGGAGGGAGAGGACGACGACGAGGAAGAAGAGGAGAGACGAGAAAAAGGAGGAGGGCAAACGAAGAGTCAGGAGGAGGGGAGGGGGAGAGCGGAGGGAGGAAGAGGAGGGAGGAGGGAAGTGGAAGGGAGGCGGGAGAGGAGGAGGGCGGAGGGAAGAGGAGGAGGACGAGTGATGGGGGAGGGAGGCATAAGGAGGGCGGGAGGAGGAAGAGGTAGGATGGACTAGGAGGAGAAGGAGGAAGGAGGAGGAGGAAGGAGGAGGGAGGAGGACGAGGAGGGAGGAGGACGAGGAGGGAGGACGGAAGAGGCGGATGAGGGAGGAGGGAGGAGGCGGGTAAACGACCGCGGTGCCCAAGTCGGGAGCTCGAGCGCCACAGCGGGCCTGGCCACCTCTCCGAACCCCTCCCATAACATGTCGTTGCTCGAGCGCCACAGCTGCCCCGGCCAACTCCCGCAGCCTCCATAACATGTGGATGCTCGAGCGCCACAGCGGGCCTGGCCAACTCCCGCAGCCTCCCATAACCTATGCCGCATCCCACCTCGACGCGAGCGCGATATGATCGCTGCGTCCGCATCCGCTAAAGTCAACGACACTTCGAATTTGTCATTTGGGCATCAAGACGAAAGTCTTTCGGCCTGCTCATGTAGATATGTGTATATATATATATATGAGTTGCGCGTCTCGCAGTGCGTACTGCCCAGGCAGCCCAGATCCCACGAGCCACGACCTCACCCGCCTGGTCCTGGCCGAGCCTGGACGACTGCTCGCAGCAGTGGTCGCCGGTGCGTTCCCCACCCCTCTCCGCCCGCCCCTTCCTACTGACCCTCCTCCTCCTCCTCCTTTTCTTCCTCCTCCTCCTTTTCCTCCTCCTCCTCCTCCTCCTCCTCCTCCTCTTCCTCCTCCTCCTCCTCCTCCTCCTCCTCCTCCTCCTCCTCCTCCTCCCCCCATCCCTCTCCGCTCGTCCTGGTCGTCTGTCGCCGTCGTCGCCGTCGCCCTCGCCCGCCGCCGCCGCCCCGAGCGGCGCCCGCCGAGGCCTCGACCAGTACGACGGGCCCGCCATCGCCAAGGTTGCGCTGGGCGAGCCGCACCACCTCTACGAGGAGGCCTGCCGCGCCCCCGTGGGCCTCCTCCTCCTCCTCCTCCTCCTCCTCCTCCTCCTCCTCCTCCTCCTCCTCCTCCTCCTCCTCTTCCGTGTGCCCGCGGGTGTGCCTGGCGTCCTCCTGGCCTCCCGGCCTCCCAGCCTGGCATCGCTCGGACGAGTGCGTTTTTTCCTCGGCGAGGACCATCGAGGAGCATCCTTGGCCACTTGCCGAAAAAAACACGCACGAAACCGAAAAAAAGCACAGGGAATGGACGTCCGAGCGATGCCGAGCCCTTCCCCGAGGCCTCCCGGATGGGGTCGGAGCAGCTTTTGGTCGGAGGACCGCGCCGCCTCGCCGACGCGCCGGCGGCGCGGCTCGAGGTGGAGCCCGCTCGGCTTCACCTCGGCGTCGCCGACGCATCGCCGCCGTCGGCGACGCGTCGCCGGTGCATCGCCGATGCATCGCCGAGGCATCGCCGATGCATCGCCGATGCGTCGCCGATGCGGCGCGGATCCTCCGACCCCGTCCGCTCCGGCCCCATCCGGGAGGCCCCCGCTCGCAGCCCATTTTTGTTGTTCTTCCTCTCCGCTCCCGCTGCCCCGCCTCCTCTCTCGCCGCGGAGGGCGGGCGGGGCAGCCACGACGCTGCGCCTCATCGGCTCCTGGGGCGAGGGCCGGCGGCAGGACGGCGTGCAGCACTGCCGCGAGGCCGAGGCCGGCTCCTCCCCCCCGCCTCCCCTCAAAGGAGGGAAAAAGCCTGCATCAGCATAGACGACGTCATGATCCTCGCGCGGACTTCTCGGCTCGGCGCTGGGGCCTGGAGCCCCCTGGCAGCGCCTCCGGCGCTGCCCCTGGCAGCGCCTCGGGGGTGCAGCTCTCCGAGGATCAGCGCGGATCTCCGAAAATGTGTGTCTCGTGCGTGTCCGGCTCGTTTCTCTTGGATCACCGCTCCCCCCCCCCCTTCCCTCCTCCCCCCCCTCGCTCCCTCCCCTCCTCCTCGCCTCCTCGCTCCTCGCTCCTCCGTCCCTCCCCCCTTCTCGCTCCGGCTGCCCCTGTCCGCCCCTCTCGATGGCGCGCCTCCCTCCCCGCGTCTCTGGAGAGCCTTTCGCCCCTGCCTGCTCCGCTCGGAGCGCATGCTCCTCCCCCCCGTCCCTGCGCTGCCCCCCGTCGGGGAATTGCGAAGCAACGGCGCTCGCTACCACGATCCTCGAAGCATAGGATGATGGACGATGATGATGATGATGATGATGATGATGATGATGATGATGATGATGATGATGATGATGATGATGATGATGGTGATGGTGATGTTGATGATTGATGATGATGGTGATGATGATGATGCTGATGATGATGATGCTGATGGTGATGATGATGATGATGATGATGATGATGATGATGATGATGATGATGATGATGATGATGATGATGATGATGATGATGATGATGATGATGATGATGATGATGATGATGATGATGATGATGATGATGATGATGATGATGATGATGATGATGATGATGATGATGATGATGATGATGATGATGATGATGATGATGATGATGATGATGATGTTGCCTTCGCCTCCTCTCTCCCCCGCCGCCGCCCTGCCCCTGCCGCCCGCCCGCGGCAAGAAGGGGCGGCCGGTTGCCCGGGCGCCCCGCCCCCGCCAACCCCCAAAAAAGAGGCCTTCCTGATCTACAAGAAGTGCAACCTCAACGCCGAGGCTGCCGTCGGGCCACGGGTCCCCTCCCTCCCTCCCCCCCCCCCTCCCCCCTCCAGCTCCCTTCGCCCTCCCCCCCCTCCCCCCTCCAGCTCTCCCTCCCCCCTCCAGCTCCCCTTCCTCCCGCCCCCCCTCCCTCCCCCCTCCCTCTCCCTCCCCCTCCCTTGGCCTCCTCCAGCTCCCCCCCTTCCCTTCCTCGAACTTCTCGGCTCTGGGAGGAGCAGGACAGACGCAGCTGTCTCTCGCCGTGGGCGAGGCGCGCGCGCCCGCCAGGACCACATGTGGCACAGCGCGCTGGCACGCGGCGTGCTGTCGAGGAGGAGGAGGAGGAGGAGGAGGAGGAGGAGGCGGAGGAGGAGGAGGAGGAGGAGGAGGAGGAGGAGGAGGAGGAGGGGGAGGAGGAGGAGTTTCTCGCGACCCGATCGCAGTCGCGATCTGGCGGCACCGCGCCCTCGGGATCGACGTGGCCATCTTTGGCCTGCTGTCGTGCTCGGGGCCTCCGCCGGGGAGCACCCGCAGCGGGCCTCTGGCCCGAGGGGCGGTCGAGGGGCGCCGCCTGCTCCTGCGCCGAGTGCTGGCGCCTGCGCCTCGTGGGCATCTTCAGTTCCGGAGGAGGGCGCGCACGTATTTCTGGAAGTGCAGGGGTTGTGCATCTGTGTTATCTCGGCGGCGAGATCAAGCATCTGATTTCTTGCTTGGACGAAGACGTCGCCAATTCGCATCACCCTGAGATCGAGCAGGACACCAGTGAAACGTCATGTGGAGCAGCCCGCAGGTACGCGCACGCTACGTGGCAAGACAGTTCTGGGATCTCTTGGGTTGTGAAGCCCACTGTGCGCATTTTGGGACCGTTTCTCAGTCGCTCAGGAGACTGTCACTGCGATGTTGTGGCAACCCTGGGCGCTATCCGTCGCGGTTTTTCAAACAAAACAGGTAGTTATAATATTCAACAGACGGACCACATGATCCAAGCGGGTATCTTTAGTTGGTGCTATGGGAACTGGCATTATGATGGCCAGGAGGGCTTCTTGGTCACCGACGCAATCCACAGTGAAGCTGATACCGCGTGGCCAGTAAGTTCAATGTTGGCTCAATGTGCGTCTGACCCTCTCTGCCGACGGAAGTCCACAACGGCTCAGTATTAGGAAAACAAGGCCCTGCAAAGCATTGACAGGCTTGGTAGGAGCCGAGTCCACCTCCACTCCTGTATTTTTTGGCTCCCCCACCTCGAGCGAAACCCCCAACACATTCTAGCCAGACCCCCCCTCCTTGACTGCAAGGAGAGCTGCGCAGAACAGCCAGATTTAATCGTGTGTTCGAAAAATAACCCAGACCCCTGGCAATGATTGCCACAGGTAGCTCTCTGGTGTCTGGTGTCGTTCAGTTGTCAGTCCAGGAGTAATTTGGGGATCATCGCCTCTATGGGTGCCTCATCATCAGAGTGAAAATCAACATCATCAGCATCGTCATCATCATCAACAACATGATCATCATCATCATCAGCTTCTTCAGCGTCATCATCATCACCATCATCCACCACTCTCTCGCCTCCCGCCCTCCTCCTCCTGCTGCCTATCGCCTCCCCCTCCTTCTCTTCCCTGTCTTCTTGTCTTCAGAGCTTGCAGCAGCTTCAAGGATGGAGGGGGGTGGCTTTCAAGATGGGTCCCTTGCCGATAGCGCCGCGCACATTTGTCCCACAGCTATGCCACAGAGGCATGGAGGGCGTTTCCTTTTCACAATGGGGCTCTCGCCTCAGCGTCGCGCACTTTCGCCTTGCAAGTTTGGAGCAGGTTCACCCATCCTATTGAGGGGCCGTTTTCGATGAAGCTCTCGGTTGAATCTTTCTCGAAGTCCATGGTCATTACGTGCAAGGGTGTACAATACTTGCACTGATGGGGGCGGTGCTTTTTTCAAAACGGGCATCTCGCTAGATGCCTCAATGGATTGTGTAATCATACCTTTTCGCGTTCCATGTTGCTCGCTGGTACGATTCAAGACAGCTTCTGTTCAGAACGGAGCTTTCGCCTAAACGGCAGGTCCAAATTGTGCTGGACTTTGAAGGGGGCGCTTCTTGTATTGAGCAGGAGGAGGAGGAGAATGAGGAGCATGAGGTGGAGAAGGAGGAGGAGGAGGGACGATGTTAATTCAGGAAGGGGAAGTGAGATAATGAGGAGCGGAGGAAGAGGAGGCGAGGAGGAGGAGACGAGATGGGATAATATCCGCAAGGGCTTCGCCCCCATGCCGCCGGCCCCCCTCTCTTAGAGTGGGACGTACCAGAGCTGTGATGGGATGCCTGGGCACTGACGTGAAGCAATGTCGGGACTTCACGCGAGGGCCAATATTCATTTACGAGGGTTGATGGCTTCGGTGGCGCGAATAAGATGTAGTTTGCAATGTGGCTTCGGGGACTCGAATGTGGTGTAACTTACAAGGGTTTGTGGCCTCGGGGGCGGAAAGATGTTGTAATTTTGAGGGTGTACCGCCTCGGGGGCGCAAACACTGCGTACTTTACGAAGGCTTAGGGCCTCGGGGACGCAAGGATGGTGTCATTTGCAAGGGTTGATGGCCCTGGGGACGCGAATACTGTATAATTTCCACGGCTTCTGGTTTCGGCGGTGTGAATATTGTGTAATCTACATTCGTTTATCGTTTCGGGGACGCGAAGATTGTATAAGCTACAAGGGATTATGGCTTCGGGGGCGCGAATACCGTGTAATTTACTAGTTTGATGGCCTTGGGGACGCGAATTTGGTGTAATTTACAAAGGATTATGGCCTTGGGGACGCGAGTACCAGGTACTTTTATGTGTCCCACGACCCCCCGGGAATTCAGACAGCCCGATTCGGGGACGCTGACCAGGACGTTTTTCGGCTCCCCCCCTCGCGCGTTCAACAACAAGTGAGAGTGAAGCAGCAGGAAGCAGGACTGTAACAGTGGAAACTGGAAACTGGAACTGGCACAGGAAGCTGCAAGCCTAATCTTCGCAGCCTGATGGCCCCGCAAAGGGGCCGGCGGATTTTTGGAGGGGGGCATTGGGTAACTACGAGGACGAGGAAGAGGAGGAGGAGGAGGAGGAGGAGGAGGAGGAGGAGGAGGGGGAGTAGGAGGGAGGAGGAGGGGAGGAGGAGGAGAGGAGGAGGAATGTAGGAGGGGAGGGGGAGGAGGGAGGGGATGATGAGGATTGAGGAAGGAAGAGGAGGAGGAAGGATGAGAGAGGAGTAGAGGAGAGGGGAAGTAGGAGGATTGAGAGGAGGGAGGAGGAGGATGAGGAGGAGGAGGAGGCGAGCCGGCGCGGCGGCTGCGAGCCCCGCGCGGCGCCGCCAGGCCATTGGAAGAGGAAGAGGAGGGAGGGAGGAGGAGGAGGAGGAGGCTGAGGAGGAGGACGAGGAGGAACGAGAGTAGGAGGATGCGGAAGAGGAGGAGGGAGGGAGGGAGGTGGGGAGGGAGGGAGGAGGGAGGAGGGAGAGGAGGAGGGAGGAGGAGGCGGATGAGGAGGAGGAGGAGGGGGAGGAGGAGAGGAGGAGAGGAGGAGGAGGAGAAGAGAGGATGGAAAGGCTTTTGACTGAACTAGGCTCGTTGCAAGTTAGCTTGAGCGCAGCGGCCAACAGGACTGGCACAGGCTGCACACGAGAAGCCCGAGAGCATGGACGCTGAGCTGCTTCCGCTCTCGTCCCGAAAACTGTCGGGAGAGAGGTATTGGCGCTGCGGGAGGGGAGTAGAGGGAACAAATGCTAGAGAGGAGGAGTTTGCAGCGCCGTGCGAAGAGAGACATCAGCGGGGCCCTGCTTCGTTGCCCATAGCAGGGCAGCCCTCGAGGCAGAGAGCAGTGCAGGGCTAGAAAAGAAGTATATGGCCTGGGAATGCCTACCCAAATTCAGTAGACCGTGCGGAGAGAGAAGGAGCTGGACGGAGGGCCAAAATGGCCGTGGACGGTCGAACCGCCTTGTTGCTGCTGAGCAGCTCATTGGGGGAGGGAGGAGGCCAGAAAGAGAGAGGGAAAAAGAAGGGCCAGAATGGCATTGCCGTGCTGCAGGGCGGACGCTGCAGCTGGAAGGCCTGTACGGGCCGGCCGCGGCGGGGAGGTGGGTGCGCCTGGGCGCTAGCCGAGACCAGACAGCAGAGACCCACCTCCGTGTGGCCCCTCACAGGCACACAGGGACCAAGGGGACCCTGCTACACCTGGACGAGGGCCAAAGAGACAAGCCGGGGCAAAGTGCCACGGTCCTCTCACGAGGCACTTGTGGCTAGGGCTGTCTAGGTAGTGAGCTGCCAAGGCGAACCAAGAGTATCAGGCCAGCTCACCACCTAGGAGACTCAGCCGTGGCGAGTCTGCGAATTGCTGTGTGAGCTTAGCCGATCGCTGTTTAGCGAGGCTGCTAAAATGTGCCGCCTTGGCCGCACTCGTGCGGCAAAGTGAGAAGCCGCGCCCATGAATGGCAACTACTCTTGCACAGGCCCTCAAGGGGGGGCCGGTGGAAAAAAGAGTGACTAGGTGGGCTGCCAGTTAAGTATTAAGCTGGCTCCGCCCCTGTGTGGCGCATTGGCGGTTGCACCATGGGCGCCCATCCCATGTTGACCGGAGATGGTGCCGACTGGCGCCGCAAGAGTTGCAGTGAGAGTGTGTACCTGCAGGACCCACTGCAGCGGACTGCATGTCGGCTCGGCCGACCTTAACTTGGAGACGCGGCGTCTCCGTGGTAGATTTTGACTCGTGTGATGGCTAGGGCTGTATAGGTGGTGGGCTGCAGGTAAACCGGGATCCGAGCAATGTGCTAGCCCACCACCTATGCGTGAGGACTCAGCCGTGGCGAGTCTGCGAATTGAGATGTGTGAGCGGCGTTTAGCCGCCTCACTGTTAGCGGGGCTGCTCAAGGTTGCTGAGCCGCACTATGACGGGATAGGCTGGATGCTGCTAGGCTCGCGTGGCCTACAACTCGGCTATGCGGGACGGCTCGACCGACCTAGAATTGGAGCGGCATGGCTCCAGCTGTTTAGGTGGTGGGCTGCCGAGGAAAGGAGAGAACGCTGGAAAGATGAATAAAGGCGAGCCCACCACCTAAGTGGGCGCGCTGCTAGTTGCGCCGAGGTCGCTTAGGACGACCTAGAAGGGCGCTGACTGATGCAGCACTAATGTGGCTCGCTCAGGCACCGAAGGGCGACGGGTTGAGAGTGCGGGCGGCAGCCGAGAGCGCCGAGAGCCCTGCCGCTGTCGCCGCCGCTCGCGCCTGGGCCTCTTGCGCGGCAGCCTGCTGCTGGTTGTTGTGGTCCCTCAGCATGGCCTCCACCTCTGAGATGGTCGCCAGGCCTGTGGTCTCGATCCACTCCCAGTCCCAGGTTTCGACGACCTGGCCGTCGATGACGTCCAGCGACTTGAGCTTCCAAACGAACGGGTAGAGCATGCCGTTGGGCATCTTCCACTCGCCAGGGCAGGTGGAAGGCCACCACTTTTTGAACTCACGCGTGGCGGCCGTGTATTGGGAGCCCTGCCATGCCGAACCAGCATACGTGTCTCCTGAGAGGCCGAAGAGCTCCCGCGTGTTGGGCGACGCCCTGCTGGCCTCGGCCGCGCCCGCCTCCGCCGCGGCCGCTGCGGAACTGCCCGCGGGAGGCATGGGCACCATGGCGGCGTGGGGCGCGCTGAGAGAAGGGGGGAGTGCCAAGGGAACAAAGAGAAGTAGCCCATAAGCCAATGGCCAAATATGAGTGAAACCTAGCTGGCCTATGCTTGCATCTGTGTGAGGAGGACCCTCCTGACGGGCCGACTGATGCATGCTTGGCCTGGTGCGGAGTCTATAGGGATGAGGATGTTACCGCTACGCATGTTGACCCGCAGCGAAAGGCCGGTGCGGTAGGGTATGCCCGTGCCAAATAGGATGGGCCGTGCATCCATCTCCTGAAGAATGGGGAGGTGAAAAAAGCGCGGCCTTTCCGCAGTGGATGGCAGCCTGGTCTCCTGCCCATGGAATTGCTCCATTAGGAGCCCTACATTGATGGGCAATGGGGACCAAAGCGGAATGTGGCCTGTCGTTATTACTACCATCCACTGCACTACTGTAGGCGGTGGTGGCACTGCCTCAGTGGGGGCGCAGCGGAAG